CTAGCAGCTCTCAGTTCCTCAGGCACTCTCTGCTTCTGGTCCTTTGAGAACTGGTTCTCACAGCTCACATATCCCCCATCTCTTTCCCAGTGAAAGGTAATTCCTCCTCCATGTCTTGGCTACAAAGCCACTTCCTTAAGAAAGTATCCTCTGACCCCAGACAAGGTAAGAGTCCTGTTTCCTGCCCTGTTGCCCCAGCACTTATCTTTTGCAGCACTCTGCCCATGGTGTTCACATACTTATTTACAATTAGTGGACTGGCCAGTTTCCCCTGCTTGATTGTAAGCTCCATGAGGGAGCCTGTGTTGGCCTCACAGTAACCTGAATCCCAGAGTCCAGCAGTGCCTGGTACAAGGAAGATCCACAAAAAGTACTTGCTGCCCAGCCTATGACCCTGGCCACACACCAACCACCAATGACCCCAGTCCTTTGAGCTAGAACTAGAGGCACAGGGAGGGGCTAGACCGCTATGTAACTGGTAGAGAACTGGCATCAGAGGCCCGGTCAGAGCTGATCTCACACCATCACCATGTCCCCGGGGGTAGGGTCACACCCAGACTGCTGAGGAAAGTCCCCTGTGGGAATATGGGTCACAAGCCAGTTGCAGGCCTCACACCAAGGATAGCACCCTTTGCAGGGGATGGGTGGGGCAGATTCTGAGGGATGAATGACGCCCACTGCGTCACCTACTTCACTGCCTGTTGTCATGGGGTGTTCCCACTGTTCTCTTACTCAGGGAATGCTAAGCCAGCTTGATGAGTTCACTGCCCTGGGCACTGTGCACAGTCCCAGTGGTTCAGCTCACCTGGGTCCTCTTGTATAGCATTTCCCTTATGACACCTTCTAGGGGCACACCTTTCGCACCATCAGAGCTGCTCAGCCTCTGGAGTGCAGGGAGAGGGAAAAAAATAGCCTCTGGTTCCTCAGCAGCTACCATAGTTGTGGGTCAGCAGCTCAGCTTCCAATCCCGGCTACACCCACTCCACCTCACCAGCTTAAATTCCCCTGTGCCCAGATTCTTGTCCCTCCAAACCCTGGGAATCAGATCAAAGTCTTTCAGTATAGCTGGTCCTGGGCACTGCATGGTAAATCATTTCCTTTCTGGCTCAAACACATCTAGAATGTTATTGCTCCAGTCTCCGGTTCCTGGGACCTTGGACCTACTGAGGACCAGGCTGAGGCCTGAAAAAAGAGTTTAGGGCCTCTCTGTGTCTGCCCCACACTTCAGAGCTGGAGGGAAGGAATCCACTGATCCTGAGCTGAAGTCAAGACACCAATGGTCACACTCAGAGCCCACTAGTCATACTCAGGTTCTCCTTGGTCAGAGCAAATCTGAGAGAACCAGACTTCCTGCCCAGCCCTGGATATTTCCAACACCACCCCCCACCAGCCCCACATGAGTGATTCCCCTGTCTCCAGGGCTCCATCTCTCTCAGGGCTCCCCACATTCCTCCCTGTGGCCCCCCACTTACCCACACAGTTGTCACAGACACTGCAGTGTGAGGTCCGAGGTGGCCGAAACATCTTGCAGGTGAAGCAATACTTCAATTTCACCATCTGCCCGTTGATCAGCACCTCCCGGGTCCGAGGGGGTGGCCGGTACGTGGAACTGCCTGTGTTGTCTGAGGGTGGGAGGAGAGAAAGATGGGAGCTGTCCAAGCCTGGAGCCAGGAGCCCCGGCCAGGGGGAAGCCACTGCTGCCTGGCTGGGACAAAAGCAGCCTCAGGAAAACTTTCTGGGGAGCAAACATTAGAGTAAAATTCCAGCCTAAGGTGGGGATAAATATTAAGAACTGCTACTACTTACTGAGACTGTTATGTGTTAAAGCTTTACACACCTGCTCACACACAGTTGGCCTTACACAACTCTGAGAAAGGATATCAGAGGAGACCACAGAAACGCTTGGTGAGGTTTATCTGCATCCAATTTCCAAATTCAGGAGGTTCAGGAGTTGAAGGGACAAAGTAAACAATACTACAAGGAAACAATCAGATCCAGAATATGGGGCATCTACAAGACCACTGGCCTGGTCTCCAACAAAAGTCAGTTACTTACAAAAAGAAAGGGGGGATGGTTCTAAGTTAAGAGATTTAGCAGACAAGCAATGCATGATCCTAGACTGCATCATGTTTGGAAAAACAAAATAAAACATAGTAACAAAGGACATTTGAAGGGTAATTGGGGGAAAATGACTACAAATTAGAAATTTGGGAACTATTAAATTTCCTTGATATGATCATGGAATTGTGGTTAATGTTGGAGGCTGTCTTTAGATTTTGAAGATACATGTTGAAATATTTATGGGTAAAGTGTCTATGATTTACTATAAAATAGATTAATAAAAATTACGTAGGCCCTGGCCAGGCAACTCAGTTGGTTAGACTGTTGTTCCAATAGGCCAAGGTTGTAGGTTCCTCTCTCGTCAGGACACATACAAGAATCAACCAATATATGCATAAATAAGTGGAACAACAAACAAATCGATGT